TCTTTTCTTAGCTACATACTTTACTTAGCCCACACGTTGTCAACGGCCCATAGAATATGGATGGTTACGAAAACAAGACAAAGACACGCTCCAAACCGACCCAATCAGAACACACGCTTGCACGCGTCATCAACCTCTTCTTTCACACGTGCCAAATCATATTTATATATATATAAAAACAAATCTAGGGTACGTCAATTCCTCATCACCATTACTTCGTTTTCTTCGTCAAAATCAATTTGAAATTCTCTCAAGAAATCTTCTTTTCTTCAAACGATAGTCTCTTGCATCGATTAATCGAAGAGCGATCATGGCCCAAACTGATATCAACCAGCCGAAATTGGATATGGTAAATAAAATAATCTGAATCTCTTCTTTCATCAATCGATTTCGGGATACATCTCTAGTTTTTTTTTTKTTTTATCGAATTTCGACTCAAATCTTGATTTTACGTTTCTATGATTATGATTTTTGGAGGCTTTTTAGGTTTAACCCGTATTAGTCGGTGGATCTTAGAAGAGGCAACATGTTGTATAATTCGATGTTCATGTTAATGTTTTATGTAGAATGATCAGAATTAATGAATTGAGATATTGGAAATTTGTTGGCTAATTGTATTTGTTGTTCCAATTCTTGAAAATTTTGTGTAGACAAAGGAGGAGAAAGAGAAGTTGAAGTACTTGGAATTCGTGCAAGCAGCTGCTGTTGAAGCAGTGCTTCGCTTTGCTCTCATTTACTCAAAGGCAAAGGACAAGTCTGGTCCTTTGAAACCAGGTGTTGAATCCGTTGAAGGAGCTGTCAAGACTGTGGTTGGTCCTGTGTACGAGAAATACCACGATGTCCCTGTCGAGCTCCTCAAATACGTGGACCAGAAGGTAAAATTTGACATTCCCTTGTTTTTAGTATTTAGGATTTCGCTGAAATTAGTGCCTTGTTGCTTGTATATGGTTTTGTGAAAATGAATGAGATTCGGTCTTCCATTAATTAGATAGAACTTTTTATCATGGACTATACTTCCTTGAATTCTGTTATTAGACTTATGGTAAAGCTTGTGATGATTTCAAACCATCCGTTGTGTGTGTTTTGGAGTTGCTCCTGTAAATGAAAGCATGTCTTTTTAGTGTTTTGACTATTGGGTTCTGAGCATGTCATCTGTTGGCTGTGTTACTGTGTATAATAATCCGGTAGAATGGTACATATATAAATTTACCCTTTTTGATCAAGCTCACACTCTAGGTAGAATTTCAGTAGACCGGTTCAGTATTGTCATGTTCTGTATAATCACTTCATTCAAAGCTGACTATATCTATTGAACTGTTTTGTGTCATTGCAGGTTGACATGTCTGTGACTGAGCTTGACCGCCGTGTCCCACCAGTGGTCAAACAAGTCTCTGCCCAAGCCATCTCTGCTGCTCAGATAGCACCCATTGTGGCCCGTGCTCTCGCCTCTGAACTTCGACGTGCTGGTGTTGTGGAAACCGCTTCTGGGATGGCTAAATCCGTCTACTCCAAGTACGAACCTGCCGCTAAGGAGTTGTATGCAAACTATGAGCCAAAAGCAGAGCAATGTGCCGTCTCGGCTTGGAAGAAGCTGAACCAGCTTCCTCTATTCCCAAGGCTGGCTCAAGTCGCCGTACCAACAGCTGCTTTCTGCTCGGAGAAGTACAATGATACGGTTGTGAAGGCTGCAGAGAAAGGGTACAGGGTCTCGTCATACATGCCATTGGTTCCAACAGAGAGGATCTCAAAGATCTTCGCCGAGGAGAAGACTGTGACCGAGCCTTTGGAGTTTCACCCACTTGATTGATATTGGTGTTTGGTAGTATGCAATGTTTTGATTTGGTTGGGATTGAGGTGAACCGGATCTTGGTTAGCGAGTAGTCCCTGGTTCTTGTTTTTTTGTTTCTTCGTTTTTGGATTATTTTTTTGTTTCTTCGTTTCGTTTAATAAATACCATAAAAAATGTATTAACTAATGTTTGGAAATTTGGATTATTGTATAAAACTTTCTTGTTTAAGGTTTTACCTAAGGTGTCTACTTCACATACGATGCTATAAAAAAATGTCTTCTATTTCAATTATTTAATTTCTTCTTCTTTTTTGGAAAAATTAACATTTCATTTAATCAAATAGATGGGACCCATCTCTGTCTAATTAATAGTAATTCCCAAATTTGATCCATTTGCTATAGTGCGCGCGAAGTCACCGCCGTTCACGTTAGCACTCCAAACCCTTCGCACGAAAGACAAATCCCCCTCTTCTCCACGATCTCACTCGCCGTGAATTTATCTTTGCCGGGAAAACTTTTTGACATACAGAAGTTTCCTCCGTCGGAAAATCCGGATTTCTAATCGAATCGAGTTTGCCCAAGTAAGTTTTTTCGCGCGGTTCGTTTGATAAATTAGGATCTCGAATGGGGATTCAACTGATTGACAAGGCAGATCTGTGGAAGAGTGCACTTTTGTTGAACCTTCGGCTCCGTGAGCGATTTCGAATCGCCGTCGATGATCACCGTGGTCGAGCGGTGGGTTTTTCCACGGATGGCTACTTTTCTTCCGCCATCCACCGCTTGTTATCTCGATTCAGGGACTTTCGCCGGGATTCTCTCCCTTCTCCCCCCGCTTTTTATCGCCGACGAGGTTTGAATCATCGCTTTCTTTTTTTAATCTACGATTGATATTTGTAGATGCGGATTGTGTGTAGCATATACTTATCTGGTTAGGCAATTGATCTTACGATTTCTTCTGTTTGATTTTTGTTTGTGCATATATGCTGGGTAGTATCTTAATTTAC